AGCCACATAGGCAAAGGAACAAAGGGAGGTAAAATCCAGAGGTGAAATCCAGAGGTGAGAGGCAAGATCCACGGAGCAACCAGTCTTATGTAGTAAAATAAGCCCAGTAGGAGAGTCCAGGGAAGAGGCATCAGCAGCGGCGTGCAATTGGGCAGGACAAACCGGAGGAGTTCGTGGAAATCTTCAGGTGAGCTTCTTTGGTGACCGTAGGAAAACAGTAGTCAGGTAATGGATCGTGAGAGTGATTGGACAGACAGACAGAGTACATTAACAATACTAACAATCAAGATCATCAAGAATGATAGGCTAAATATAGAAAAGATGCTTTTAGATGTGGGGAGAATCAAAACATGGATGCCAGTAATACTCTCACCTGGAAATGACGCAGTACCAAAATACCAATGAAGGGAAGATGGGTTCAGCATATTGGTTAGAAGTGTTCAGCTCAAACTGGTGTAAAAAGCTATCATAAGAACATAAGAAATTTACAAACGAGAGGAGGCCATTCCGTCCATCAAGCTCAGAGTTGTTAAAATCGTATCTAGCTCTGATTTAAAGGAACCCAGGGTTTTAGCTTCCGCTACACTAGCAGGAAGACTATTCCATACACTAACTACACGCTGTGTAAAGAAGTGCTTCCTCAAATTTGTTTTAAAATGTATCAACCTTGATGTTTTCTTGTCCCGGGTCCAGTATGACAGGGAGAAATTGAACCAGGTGAAAAACAAGGCCTATTTGGCTTGCTACTGCTTTAGACAGAGTGCTGACTGAATATACTCCAGGTGTACAGGGGTCAGTCAGCCCCCTCCAGCTAGTGGTGCCATTCCTCCAGGCCTAATTTTACTGCGAAGAGCCCACAGTTTTCAATGTTGTAGTTTCTCTCGGCTGCCAGCAGAAAACACTCTGGTAGCATCCGGAAGACCCTGGTAGTCAATGCATAGCCAGAAACTTCCATCCTTCTTTGCCACAAAAAAGGACCTCACTGAGGCAAGAGGTCGAGGGGCAAATGCAGCCCTGTTGTAATACTTCCTGGATGTACTCCTTCATTGTTCGAGTCTCAGAGATTGAGACAGCATAGACCCCAAACTGTGGCAGAATGGCCCCCACAAGGATATCAATGGCACAGTACCAAGGGAAGTGCAGTGGAAGCTGCATGGCCTTGACATTGAAGACCACTGCCTGAAGGTCCTCATAAACCTGAGGCCAGTACATGGGCGTGCTGCAGGGGCTGATAGCACCAGTGCACCTGAACACAGTGCACAGGGCCAGTTCATTCCAGCTGCTCTCGGCTGCTGAAGTGTGAAACTTTAGGGTGTAGTCTGAGACCTAAGGCCAACCTTGGGTCAGCCGCAACAGGGTCTCCCCCACAGCTGCACTACAGGCAGGATGATTGAACATGGCCCTGAAAAATTAGCGAAACCAATCATGGCTAGAGCCCCATCACGCCCCCAGACAGCAGTGGTCCAGTCCAGTCCTCTCCTTCTCAATTGTAAGATTGCAATGGCTGTCAAGTATCACTCAGGCAATATTGCTTAGTGAATGAAGAAGTCAAACGGGAGTAGGAAACTCCTACACGCCTCAGGCATCCCATCATAGTGATCTGGGAGAGTGACCTTGGGAAATATCGGTTGGATGGCTCCTGGAGATACAGGGTCAGGTGCTCCTCTGTCAATAGTGACAGAAAAGTTGCACCACTTGCAGTGTACTATCCAAAATCCCCTCCATCTTGGAGGGTTGCACATTGCCGTGCGATCATTGCTGGGGGGACCAGGATTCCTCTGGGGACTCTAGTGGGAGAGGCATGCGACCTGCAGCATCCATTGTTTTGGACTGAGCATCATCTATAATGCTGGTGGCATTCAAGGTGAGGAGGATGCAGGTGTGAGGTTGGAAGAATTTATTAAGTTCAGCTTAAGAGGGTGGTGGGAAAACCAGGGACTAGGGGAAGTCTAACTAGGCAGCAACACAGGTGAGTGACAAGGATAATGATATGAAGAACGCTAAATCATAAATGAGGTAGAAACACAAACAGAAGGGTAGTTACACAATTAACTAAATGGGGTGGGGAAACCAGGGAGACCTTTATGAGGGATGAATCAATGTAAACATGCATTGCCACCTTGAACTCTGGAGTGAATAGGTGTGATAATAGACATGTGTTGTAAATATAATTTTAGATATTAAATTTATTTGTAACTTATTTTGCCCTGATTAAAGGATTGCATTGTTCTGAAAGTTCTAAGGTGTATACGTACTAAAGCAGACATCCCATCTTAGGCAGATTGATTTTTCCTACATACTCAGACAGACAGACAGACAGACACACACACACACACACACACACACATGTTGGCGAACCAATCTAAATGGGGAGCTTCCATTTATTTCTATGGGGAAAACCCTAATCCCACTCACAACACCATTAATCCCTACCCAACCCAAACTTAATCATACGTTACAAAACAAAATACAAAACTTTAGGTATTTTGTCTATTTTGAATGCATTTATACATTTTATCCAAATGGGGACCTGACCGTCTTCTCCTGCCTGGAAAGGAGGCACACATCTGTGAGAATGCTATTTGTGGATTACAGCTCAGCATTCAACACCATCATCCTCTCCAAGCTCAACAGGAAGCTCCGAGCTCTTGACCTGGACAGCTCTCCGTGCAGTTGGATCCTGGACTTCCTGTCAGATTTGTGCCAGGCGGTCAGATTGGGCAATACCACCTCCTCTATACTGATCCTCAACATGGGAGCCCCCCAGGGATGTATACTGAGACCTCTCCTGTATTCCCTGTACACCTATGACTGTGTGGCCACAAACAGCTACAGCATCATCGGGAAGTTAGCAGATGGCTTGAGGGTCTCATCTCCAACGTCGCTGAGTGATAGTGAACTTATGGAAGCAGGGGGGAATTACACACCCTCATCTCCATCAATGGGTTTACAGTGGAGAGAGTCAGCAGCTTTAAGTTCCTCAGTGTGCACACCACAGAGGACTTCACATGGACAGTGCAAATCGCTGAGGCAGTGAAGTCTACTATTCTTTGGTTCACTAACTACACTGTATTACACCTACAGTCTGTCTGCCTGCCCCATGGTATATTGTATGCATGCTGTACTGAATTGCATATTATACTGTTGCATTTGTGCATATGTAGAGTTTTATAGTTGTTTATGTACAGTTTTTATGTACAGTACACTGTTGTACAGACGTTTTTTTTTTGTACAGTTTGCATTTATTTAATGTACTGCACTGCGAATAGGAACCCAAGACTTTCACTCACTAGTTCCAGTGATTGGCAATAAAAGTGATTTGATTTGATGTATGTTAAAATAACACATTTCCATAGGAACATTGTCCGTGATGTTTTGAAGAAAAAAATTACATGGGAAACACAAAAACTACATGTCATCTTGCTTTGAGTTTTATTACACTTGGAATTGAAATGCTTTTCTAAGGAAGGTGAAGAAAGAGAAATCAGATGTGAAGATCAATACTAATGGTGGAACCACAAGAAGGAAAATCAGAGAGAGAAAGTCCAGAAAATCAGGCACTTCCACAAGACAGAGTGGTTGTCAGGTAAAGCAATATATGGGAATTCCCAAAAGACAAGGCAGGAAGGACTCTTTTTATGGTTGTGAATAGTCATTAATCCCCATCCAAAGATCACGCAGGAGACGTCAGTAGCTCTAGAACAGAGTACTCAATTTCCTGTCTGCTATGTAAGGAGTTTGTACTGCATAGGTTTTAACCTGAGGTGACTGCAGAAGTATGAGGTTTAACTCAAAAGGTGACAGCAGACTACTCTGGTCTAATCACTAGCAATAATTTCGCAACAATGTACAAAATTAAATTAACTTGACAGTGTCACAGAAGTCAGAATATTACTACCTAATATTAACACCTTCAGGAATTCTTGGATTAAGGATGACAGCTTTGCAGTGTTTGGGAATGTTTTGTAATCTAAACATAAGAATGACAACAAAAAGACACTCCCTGAAGAAGTTAAGCTTAGAAAATCCAGTCATTACACTAGATATGACTAAGAGACTAATGGTGCTTTTCCACTGGCATGCAGGAGCCGACCCATATCTGAGCCATACCACAAAGAGAGCCTAGTTCTCGCACAGTTCCAGCTCGTTTTGGATTTCCACTGCAGCCGGGTTGGCTCGGTAAAGGCGGGCTTTGGAGAGTAACAGTGAAATAAAACCAGAGACACTTATTTTCTGTTTACATAGCGTACAACATGATTTACTATGTGCAATGATGATAATAATAATAATAATAATAATAATTATTATTATTATTATTACTACTACTGTGTGGTAATTTCCGCTAGCATGTCTGTGAGAATCACTGTGTTATGCAAGTATCAAACGCTAGCGGAATTAGCATTCACTTGCATAAATTTGCATTACAAATTTTGAAATTATGAAGTTGGAAATTTTCAAGTTCTGTGTTTTGGGAATGTACTGTTACATTGCAACTTGCTATACTACTAATTAAAAATACATAAAATATATGCGCAGAACCCCAATATCCCTGTGCATTTCGACCAATTAGATGGAGTCAATGCAACCAGCTCTGTTTGGTCATGTATTTGGCTCCGCTAGTAAGCAGGGCCATGTCAGCATGGGTACGGCTCGGGTATGGGTTGCATAATTTATAATGGAAAACTGTTATTAGTGGGAGCATATTTCTGAGCTCAATTGATTTTTCTGGTAGGAGGCTATTTTTTTAAGTATAGATTGGTGAGAGTTTAATGATTTTCTTAGTATTAGTGAGCCTTTGTCCACTGGGCAATTGTAAAAAGAAAGCTACTTTCATGTCAACATCAATGTAATATTATTTGCCTTGAAAAGATTACAAGGAAGGAATAAATATGAGGGAAGGTTAAAAAATAGCATGTCACTTGCTAAATACTGGCATGAACTGGCAAATCTGTGGTTGTGATACCTGTTTTGTTTTGCTTCACACAGGAACACCCCAAAAGTTCAAATTATAACAAAAGTACTCCACATTTTAATACAAAACATACACATATTATATATAAACATATAGGGCCATTTTCAAGTAAAATAGATAGGAGATGATCGTGCACAAATGCACGACTGTAAACAATCCAAAAAAAAAAAAAACGCTGAAAACATATTATATATATTATATATCAATTTAACTTTCTAACCATTTTAATATAATAAAACATTACTATATAATATATACAAAGTGATTAACTTAATATTTTGTACAAATCTTATAAAACTGGACACTACGAAAAGGACACGCGCTCCGAGGTGGCTTGGGCAGACCAGGTGGGGAGGGGCCTGCTGGTGGCAGCATCCCTGCAGAGTCATACACTTGGCCAGCGCCTGCCACTCACCATGGGAAGTGGAGAACGGAACAGCAATAAATAAAGAACAGGGCCTTGCAAGGGCAGAGTGCCTCCTGATAAGGATATGGGGAGAGACGCCCTGGAGGCATGATGTGCTGAAACACTGTCAGATAATACTGTTTACGCCAGGGATGCTCTGCTTCACCGTACCTGTGCCGGCCTGGCTCTGTGCCACATGTGTGGAAGACCTCTTTTCAGCACAGTGACAGGCCTAGGGCATCATGTGGCCCATGCGAAACTGAAATCTATGGGATGGTCCTGGTACTTTTTGTTCACGCCATGCAGCTTGCACACTCTTCTCTTCTTCTTTCTGGAAGCTTCTTCAAACCCAGGAGACACCCTGCAAGCTGCATGCTTCACGCATCCTGTTGGGCTAAGCTGACATGCCTCTTCCTCTCTTTCCAACGGAGTGGTCTATTGCCTGGTATCAGACCATCTGTCCAGTATCTCTGCACGGCTGCACAAATCCTTGGCAGACTTTAGGAAGGGGGCTCTTCTTAACTAACTGCAATCAGTGGAAAAAATGAGTTCCACTACAGGTACTGATGGAACCGAGAGCAGGAGACCGGCTGGGGCGTGGCAGGTTCCCGGCCAAGAAAGACAGACTCCCTGTGCAATGGTGGTTCCGGGGTGCAATGTAGCCCCACGGGCTTACTGTCAGGTCGGACCCTGTCAGCGACCGCCATGTCCTTATTTGGGCTTGTCACACTGATTGCTGCATCCATGGGGAATATTGTACTGTCCCCCACATGCACAACAATAGTGTGGCGGCGCCAGGAAGACTTTTTGCGTCGCGTCTCTGGCGAGACAGGCTTCCGCAGTCCCACACCCCGCAGGTCGCCAATAGAGCCCAAGAGGCGTGCCTGCACCTGTTCGGCCAGAGAACCCTGCCCACCAGAGGCGCAGGGAGTGAAGGAAGCCATCTCAATTAATGAGGTGGACTGCAGGGGCAGGCTCGCATTTGGGCTCTCCTCATTGGTCACGGGATCCCTGCCCTGTTCACTTGGGGCCCCTTTTGATGAGGTTCCTTGGTCCTCTGTGCCCTGCTCAAGCTCCACATCCAGTGATTTAGGCTTCTCGCCCTTGAGCTTCTTGCGTGCCAGCGTGTCACACTGGATCAGTTTGTGGGAACTGAAAGAGGTTCGGCTGTGTGGCCTGTGGGTGGTGGATGAAGAGGAGAAAGATGAGGAGGAGGGAGTGGTGGAGTGTCGGCTGCCTTCACTCTGACCACCCATGGCCAGGAGGCTGGGGGGATAGGTGCCTGACTGAGGGGGCTTGTGGGGGCTATAGAGGAAGCTGTATGGGACCTGCTGGGTGGGCTTTTCTGGCCTTTCCTGGGTGAGGGATTGTGAGGCAAAGCCGCTCTCATTGTCTGTCTCACTCACCAGCTCGCTGTGCTCGTCGTCTGCATCATCACCACGACCCTCGGAGGCCAGGCTGTGTCTCAGTGTGGAGAGTGTGGAGTACCCCGACACGATAGAGTGTGCATCTTCCGGCTCTCGCCACATCCCCACCCCAGCACCACTCTTCTCCTGCAGCACTACAGTGGTGCTGATGTCCTCTTCCTTATACAGCCTTCTCATGGACTCCTTTCCAGCATCAACATCCTCCTCCCTTTCTTCCTCCTCCTCCTCGTCTTCATCATTCTCATCTTCATCATCATGATCATCATCCTCTTCTACTGCTCTGGGTGCTGCAGCTCCACCCCTTAGTGGCTCCCTTTCCTCATTCCCTCCCTTCATCTGTTCTCTTTTTGGGACACGCCCCCCTCGATTGCTGGCTTTGATTGGCTCATGTTCTGAGTCCTCGTCTGTACTGCTACCCAGGACGTGGGTGACCGGGCGCTTCCTCCGTTTCCGGGTGACAGCAGACAACAGTGACAGAGTGAAGTCCTTGGCTGTCAGATCCCGCCTTGAACCCCACGAGCCCTAAGGATAAATATAAAATTCATCATTTCTGATTAACTAGACTTCACAAACATTCACTCAATGACAATAAAGTTAAAAGCAAAGGTTACCTTGGATTTAGCCGAGTCACTGTTGGTTGAATCTGCTTTAGTGTGAAGATAAAAACAATAGGAGAGTAGGGTTTATTAGTAAACCTGTGTAACTGGGGTACATGTAAACCATAAGGGGTCAGACCATATACAGACATGAAAGAATAGAATGATACTTTATTAATCCCTGTCTGGAAATTAGATTTTCGCCTATCCCATCCTGCTCTCCATGAATACAGACAAGAGCATGCTTGGGGGATTACAGTGAAAGGCAGCCACCTGCATCATCCAGTGACCTGGGGGCTAAGGGCCTTGCTCAAGGCAGAGTCCTGCACGGGTCCACTTTTGGAGACCTTAACCCACCCGCACCTGCACAGTACAGCACCACACCCGCCCGTGCACCCGCGATTATTTCAAAGTTAAATCCGCACCTGCCCGGGCCCGTTAACATTCCGCCCGTTACCCGCCCGTACCCGTGATAAATTACACACAATTATTTTTTCTATGCACCTCTCAACGTGACAAGCGCTAGGCCTACATGAGTTTTGAATTGAAATGAAAAAGTCCGTTTAACACAAAATCAAATCAGATAGATCTAAGCTATCCATACTGTGACGAGCGTGAAAGAGAGAACACGACGACACGCTTCAGCAAGGATTCAGACATGTATGTGAATGTTTGTCAAGGTGGTTATCTAATGGTCCGTTCGTTTTTCTCTCGGAACTCGGAAATTCCGAGTTGAGTGACATCACGTCCGACAATCTCCAGTTCGAGCTACCACATCTCGCAAACAAACATGGCTGCCTCCATGAACACGCTGCTGTTGTCACACCTTGCTCCGTACGATCCCGATGTGTGCCATGCCCCCCTCATTATCTATCAGATCTCACCTGTTGCTCGTTTCCCTCAGCTTGTCTAGTGTATTTAGTCCTTGTCAGAGTCAGTCATCCCCAGATCAGTCATTGTTGTATTGTCCGTAGATGTCCGTGCCTGTCCGTCTTTGTGAATAAATCCCGTTTACCTGACATTCTGGCTGCACGTCGCCTGCTTCCCTGCTCGCCCGAGCCCGAACATGACAGAATGACTGATCTCACCGAAAGCACGAAGCAGCAGTCCGAGCACCACCGGCTCGGACTGCTGCAAGTCTTCGTGTACTGGCAATCCCAGCCCAAGGTCCAGGAGGACCTGGTAGCCCTGGAGCTGGCTAGCCGGGGCCGGGACCTGCTCCAGAAGGAGCGCCCGTCGGGGCAGGACTACCCGCTTACCAAAGCCCGGAAATGCCTCCGTCGGCTACAGCGCCGGCTCACCAAGCGAGGGGAGAAGCAGCAGGAAGAGACTCCATCGCTCTTCCTGGGAGCCTGCTCTCTCCTCCCCGCCTGGGATGACACCGCCGCTACCAGCCCGGCCAGCTCCCATCCGGAGAAGCCACCTCCGATGGAGGCTTACTTCTATCGGCCGGAGCGTATGGGGCACGGCGGAATTCGCACCGTAAGAGACGGCGTTCCCCGGGTTCCCAAAGCCCTAAAAGGGAGGGCGCCCACGCACTCAACACCCCTCCTGCCGGCTCCGGACCTGCATGCTCCAGACCTGCCCGCGGCACCGCCTGCTGCTGCTGTTGCCGCCGCTCTGCCTGCGGCTGCGCTGCCTGCTGCTGCCGCTGATATGTCCGCGGCTGCACTGCCTGCGGCACCGCCTGTTGCAGCTGCCGCCTCTCTGCCCGCGGCACCGCCTGCTGCTGCTGCTCTGCCCGCGGCACCGCCTGCTGCTGCTGCTCTGCCCGCGGCACCGCCTGCTGCTGCTGCTGCTGCTGCTGCTGCTGCCGCCGCTCTGCCCGCGGCACCGCCTGCTGCTGTTGCGGCTGCGCTACCAGCAGCACTGCCTGACCCGCCTGTCCTGCCTGACCTGCCTGCAGTCCCTGCAGCTGCCACCGCTCTGCCTGCGGCACTGCCCGCGGTGGCCGCGGTTGCGCCCCCTGCTGGCCGCGTGATGGCAGCGCCCGCTGCGGCGCCCCCTGCTGGCCGCGTGGTGGCGGCGCCCGCCGCGGCGCCCCCTGGTGATCAGGAACCGAGGGTGCCCGCTGCAGCTCCGACTGAGGTGCCCGCCTAGGCGCCCCCTGCTGGCCGCACACCCGAGGTGCCCTCCGAGGTGCCCCTTGCTGGCCACGTGACGGCGGCGCCCGTCCTGCTGGCACCTGAACTACCTGTCTCGCCGGTCCTGCCGGCACCTGTCCTGCCTGACCCGCCTGTCCTGCCTGACCCGCCTGCCCAGACAGCGGCTACACCTGCTGCTGCGGCCGTCGCTTTGCCTGCAGCTCCGCCCGAGGTGGCCGCGGTTGCGCCCCCTGCTGGCCGTGTGATGGCAGCGCCCGCCGCGGCGCCCCCAGCTGGCCGCGTGATGGCGGCGCCCGCCGCGACGCCCCCAGCTGGCCGCACACCGGTGGAGGAAGATGCCGCTCTGCCCGCGGCGGCTCCTGTGGTCCACTCGCCTGTCCTGCCCGTCTCGCCTGTCCTGCCCGGCCAGCCCTGCTCACCTGCAGCCACACCGCTGGAGGAGGACGCCGCTTTGCCCGCGGCGCCCCCTGCTG